ATCACATTATACAATGTTGTTAGAACATATTACATCAGAATATGTTGTATGCAATTGGAATTTTTGTATTTTTTAAGAAAGCATATTATGTATTTATTCATTACATTTGTTTGTTATATATGAAAACATAAAATCATAATATTATAATGCAATTTAATCAATAATACAAAAGTGAATAAATATACAAATAATTGAAAATATATATATGACAATTATTTTACAGGATAACGGTATAAATATAGCACAACCTTAAACTATCTAATATATATGATTTCACGTATATCTAGATATTTTTATAGACAAAAAAAATGAATCTGCATATTATAATAGTTATAAAATACTATGATGAATATATTAAAATATATATCTTAGTAATTGAGTGCTGGTATTAACTATCTTATTATGAAAAATGCTAAAAGAACAGTATTGATATTTAATTAATTGCAATATTTGTTTTAACTAATAATTATATATTAATGATAGAATTCATGTTAGAAATTATCATGAAGTATAATTTCTTTAGTAAAGAATAATAAAAATTAAGTATATATAATTTTTTAACATTGTATTATAATTTTATTCATTTATGCGGAATAGTAAATATAAAATTAATATTCATTTTTATAGTTATATCTTTAATTCACATTTTATTTATATAAAATGTATATAAATTTATCTTATTTAAAAGGTCAAAAATTACTATAATATAACAAGAATAATGTATTATCTGCAAAATACAAATAAATATATTTGATTAAATATTACAATAATATTATTATGTAATGAGTGTATTATAAAATGGCACTGAATGCATATTAATTACCTCTAATCAACATATATATTTTTCATATATAAATAAAGTATATGTTAAATAATACATTAATATAATAATAATATACAGTTACATTGTATTTTGGAGTTAATAGCGAATAAAAAATTATTAATAACATATATTAGCATTTTAATTATATAATAGCATTTTTATATTTTTATTGTATTTCTTCATATATAGAGAATATTTAACATTTATAGTGATAAAAAAATAAATTATAATTAATTATAATAATTTAGGCTAATTATATTAGTGCTTAGAAAAAATATGAGAAATTATGCACGAATAAATAATACTGTAGTTATAACAAAATATCACTTATTTGTCAAGATCTTTTATAATAATTTATGTTTATCTATTATGAAAATATTAAAATATATATATTTTTTATAGAAAAATAATATTTTTTATTAGTATATATTTTACATAGTAGTATAATATATATGAAGCACATAATTTTATGCTTGTAATTATGCTAATTGTAAATATGCTGTATACAAAATTTATTTCTTGCGTATATAGGAATATGTACGCGGCATATTAAAAAATTATCATATATATTATTTTTAATACTATAAAATAAAACGAGTTATATATCAAATATATAATAAATCGTATTTAATTATGCGAATTCTTTTATAGGCATATAAATTATATATAGATAAATATATTATAATATTATGATAATGGAAACATATATTTAATTTTTCGAATGATATAATGTTGTTATTACAAAATTAAAAACTGTAAGAATAATATAATGAGTTATGTTAAATTACATTTTCAATATAATATTATTATTTAATTCATATATAATGCTTAAAATTTTCTATATATTATTATAATTATCATGTAATTTAATTCTATTTATAACAGAATCAAAATTTTACTACATACTGGTCAAGGTATTAGTCACAATTAATAACTATTAAATAATAATTTATATTTCATCAATACTCCCAAGAAGCAACATAAATTATACATAAACAAAATGCATATTACTTTTATTATATATCTTTTTTTACAAAAGAAATTATAAATTCATCTTAATATTCAAAACTGAGAAATAATATCCTACTAGGAAGGTAACAATATTTTACGCATATATACTTATTTTACATAATAATTTTTGTTTGAATTTTTATTTAACATTTTTTAAAATTAAAAAAAAAAATGATTCACTAAAATATATTTACAGATATTTTTACATTATAAGGTTTTCTTTTTTTGTATTAGAATACAATCTAATTTAATTTGCATAGGCAGATGTTAGAGAGTTAGAATAAAGAAATAATAGAATAATTTCCTTAAAAAAATCCTAAGTGATGCTTAAAAAGAGTATCATAGAAGTGTATATTACTATTTCATTAATTTTTGTCTCAAACCTACATATTACTTACATAAGAAATATAACTCTGTATATCAAACTGGTGCAGATGAAGATTGTGTATATTTTCGGATAGAATAAGATATTCTGAAGTATAAACCAATATATATTGTTAAACATATTTATAATCATTATACTAATGCATCTAGTTATTATAGCTGTAACATCTGTAAATAGTATAAAGAATGTGTGACTAAAGTTATATTGAAAAATCTCAAAGATTTATATGACTAGGATAATATGATAAGTAATATAAAAGAATCTAATGATAATACATATAATGTAATATATGTTTATTCGACCCAGAATGCGCTAATATATATGTAACGATATAAAGGGATGGGAAACCAAATATATCACTGAATATTGCATGCATTAATAAATATTATGAATAAACTAAAAAAAACAAACTTACCTTAAGATTGTGTAATTGTTATATCGGAATTCATAACTTAATCCAAAAAAACAATATATTTATTATTATAATTCTAATTTATGTAATATTAATAATATCTTTTTATCTGTTTATTGTATATAAGGTTAATTATGATATTATATATATAAACTAAAATAATTTTTCTATATTGATTTAAGAAAAATTTATTTAAAAATATTAAATTATTATTATATCATATTTTTTACTGTATTAGTTTACATAATATGGTACAAATTTATGAAGTGGCATAAAAATTATAAGAAATATGTGGTAATATAAAGCTGAAGATAGAAATATATTTAATGCTACTGAAATATCTATTATTATTTGAAGAAACATGCTATATGATATATTATATAACTATTTCTAACAATAATAATAAATTTATTATTCTAGAAAAGCATTTTGTTCAAGCAGCATAAAAAATTGTTGTCAGCGAATTATATAAAAAAATTATCATCATAATAAATAAATATATATAGAGATACAAATACGTATAATATAATAAATCACAGAAAAATAAAAATTCTGCATGTAATGAGAATCTGTTACAAAATTAATAATATGTCTATGCGTAAAAATATGAATATCACCTTATTCTTGTATCTGATAATAATTCTATGAACATACTTTGTGTTTCCCTCTTTTTACACATTGCGTTTTGAATGTATATAAAATATTTAAAATATATATTAAAATAAAACCACAATATAAATTATATTCTATTAGGGAAATGAATATAAAAATAATAATTTGTAAAATAATTGAATTCACTGATATAAATCCTTTTAATATATAAAATATTATTTTATTACCATATGTTAATGAAGTATAATTTTATAATTTTAATAATTATTTAGGAGTAAATGTTTTTTTTATAGCTCATATTATGTATGTTAATAATAATCATGTTATGTGCACCGTTAGGTTTATACATAGAAATGAAATTATGTTCATTGAATATATACTTCGTAAATAGAATAACACCTATTCTAACTAATGATCTTTGTATTACATCTTATTTAAATTTCCTATTCCATTTTATTTTTACTTTTTGAAATTTTATTTAATTTATAATATTCTCACAATATATATACGAGTGTGTTAATTATCTATAATATACTTCGTATGAAAAAAAATTGAAAAAAGATATAATTTCATTCTATATTACGAGATGAATATCTATTATATAATATATAACACGTATATACTTCCACAATATTAACATCATTATGCATTTTATTTTTTTAGAATATGAATTTAATTTTCATATATATATAAGCAAAAAATATAATGTCATAGTATGTGTATTAGATATATATTCTCAATATTTATTTTGATAAAAAAAAATATATATCTCCTTATAATTCGCAACATATATACATAGAAAGTGCAAAAATGCATTTATAAGGTTATAATAAGTGCAATGAACTATAAATACAATTAATTTACATCAAAAATAAGAGCTACACATGCTTAGGTAACCTATTAAATATTATTCAATATAAGACAGAAAGAATAATTGGTTTAAAAAAAATATACATAGGGGTAATAATGAATATAGACTATCTTAGTATTTTTCATTAAATCGTGTTATACATAAAATAAGTAAACTTAATTTTACTATACCATATATAATATTATTTAACCAAATGTATATTAAATATAAGATATACAAAGAATAAATCAAAATATTGTAATGTTTATTGTAATATATTATCTATTAGGAAATAAGTATAAGTATACCTCCTTTATAACTATATATGGAAGAAACATACAATAATAATTATATATTTCAATAAAATAAAAAAAATATAACCATAATTTACAATAATAATTTGCACAATATATATATATATATATATAAGAAAAATTAATAATAATCATAATATAAAAAATTCACAATCCCAAAACTTGATCTCTAAGTACAAATAATAAATATTACTCCTACCACGTGAATCATGAAACTGGTAATATTTTTAGATATTTTGTAATGTCATTTTAATAAATAATTTCCAATTATTTTTATATTAGGATTATGACGATAACGTTTATATATAAAGAATATTTATCCTTGAAATACTTTACTTAATCTTTTCCATTTATTCTAAATACATATTGAATGAGGTAATGTGCTTTTATGATCATTTAAATAATGAAATAAAATATAAATTTTATACATATTAATTTTCATTTACTCTTAAAAAAATATAAATTAAAATGTACAATAAATAATTTTAGAGAATAACACTTAACTCTATAATTTATTTATTCAATATTATAAATATTTTCCCATAGATAAATTATTAAATATAACAATTTGTGATTTTATTTATATTTAATGTTTATTTTTCTATATAACTGTTAAATAATCTATTCATTCTGTTATCTGTATAATCTATATAATTTTCTTTACTTCGTAATAATTTGTCAATATTTTCTTTATAGTTATATTTCTTTAATTTCCAGAATTTTTTTACCTCACCATTAAACCATGTACCAAAAGTAGTAAACTGAGGTATTAAAAAAAAAATTTTATAACAATTTAATATATATATACACTCCATAATTTATAATGTAAATTAATTAGGAATATTATCACTGAATGTTAATTTATAAGATATATGCTTTACTTTATATATAAAACAAAATATAATGGAAAATGTTCCAAAAATGGGGAAAAATATTCTACTTCCAGGCGATTTTGAAAAATTCGTATATGCATATTTATCAGATTTATAAGATCCAGAATTATCACTACATATATAATTTGTAGTTGATCTAGCACAGTATGTACAATTTTCTCGTGATTGTATTAACTTTTTCCATAAATCTTCCATAAATTTATTCCATAATTCATTTTTAGAGCAATCTCTTCCACTATATGTATAAATATCCTTTTTCATGTTTACCCAATCATTTAAATATGTGAAGGCTGTTCCATTTTCTCTAATATTACACTCAAAATATGTTTCCATGAAATTTTGTGCAAGAATCTTTCCCAAGTTTGTTAACTCTTGATTAGGAGGTTTAAAATGTAACAACACTTCTCGAACATCGCCTTTGTTATTAGAATTACCTTTATCAAACTTCTTAAAATATTGCTCCTTTAATTGGTCCTTATTTTAAAACAACAGATTATAAATTTTAAAACATATTTAAACAATTAAATATATACATTATGTCAGAATATACACATGTCATAATATAAATATGTAGTATTAATAAATAATTATACCGGTCCTGTCATTGTGTAAGGCCTCTAATAAAATTTTGTAAACTAAATATATTGAAATAAATTTATATTTATAAAAAATTTTGCACAAAATTTATATATCACGTATTATGGTATTCATATACTAATATTTTAGTGGATATATATAATATATAACCAGCATTAAAATTAGAATAATGTATGAGACGCTTTAGGAATTATATTTATATGATATGTATTGATTACAAAATATATATATATTTTTTAATAATGAGTTAAGAACTGATGTTACTTATGCTAGAATATTATACATTTTTTTCTTATTCATTGAAAATTAAAAGTTAATAAATTATATATAGCTTTATTAATTATATGAATAATGAATTCTGATATTAGATCATGGTGAAAAAGCGAATAAGTTATATAAAATTATATAATATAATAATGAAAGAAAGAACATATTGTATTATCATTAATCAATTCATGGAATATTAACTCAGATATCATTTTTTTCAATAATAGTTTATATAATATTCGCGTAATTCGTATATTACAGTTATAATTAACAGAATATATTTTTCTTTTAAAGATTTGTCATTATATGTTTAACTATATATATATTTAATATATATAAAAACAAATAAATAAAATAATTATATTTGTGTTCATATGAATTAGTCATGTTCAAGAATATAAAACGCTTTATAAAAATATTTATACTATTATAAATAGTAATAATATGTTTTAATGCATATATGAGTAACACACATAAGGATGATAAAAGATGAAAGGAAAAAAATTATATATTTTTATAAAAAAATCCTTATATATAATAAAATATGTATTTTAATTTATTAGTTTTTTAGTTTATTGTATATGAATATATATTATACCAAATATATTTATATGTTCTTCATATATCTAATATTAATGGATTATTAAATTTCATAAAACTTGCAATGCTAACAAATGAGTCTTATATAACTATGAAATAAACGCTATAATTATTGTAGTTAAATATATAATATCTATCCATATATAATTCACAGTGTATGAATACCAATAAAAGCATTATCAATATGTAAACATTGAAATTATTTTTAATTTATTTATGATTATTCATAATAAGTATATAATTTTTATAATTTTTCATTATATTCTTTTATATTATTCATTATGCATATAAATTATTAATTAAGTAATACACAAACGTATTAGGTTATTATGCTGTGTTTATAATTTATGTTATAGGAAAAATAGTGTACGATTAATTTTATTATCAGAAAACACATATTTAGCAAATATATTCTTATTATTATATAAACATATAACCGTAATATAATAAATAAAACAACATTAAGAATTTCAATTTACATGTTAATATACTTTCTTACTGTACATTGACTCTTATGTATAAAATTTCCCATGTATTGTTGAAATGATATTTAGCAAAATACAGTCTATGTATAATTAAATATATTCCACCAATATCTAAATAATTATATGAATGTGTTTTATTCGTAGCATAATTTATATAAAATCTTATTAGAGTTTATTCTAAAAATGTATTAGATTTAAAATTTTTTTTTTTTCTACCTAGTACATAATATATAATTGTTTTTCTTATTTAGAGTAATGATAATTCATTTATATATACTAGTAGGATAATTAGAATAAGTAATAAAGTTATATATAGCATAATATATAATAAGAAGAAATAATTTTATTGTGTACTGTAGTTAACTACTTAAATAATATTATTATGAATTAACAGTATTAAAAATATTTTATTATCTTCCTCATTTATAATAACAAAATATTCTTAACTATTTAGTACCTATAAGCTGCGTTCAACCTTCATTAACTGTTATATATTTAAAACATTTTTTTTCATGATATATATATTTTTTGATCACATTTTATAACTATGTTTTTTTTATATAGTTCATATTTTGTTTTTAGTCAAATAAATACCATTACATATATGATTTTTTATACATGCATACATGTATATATATATTTATACAAGATTCCATAAAAAATTATTATTGACACGTCTGTTAATAATATTAAAATAGTAAATAGTATTGTTTCCCGTAATTCAGTTTATATATATATTTTCATGTAAATACATTTTATTATTTTTTCATTCTATTAATTTTATTTATTTTATTACAAATAGAAATTTTTATTGTATCTATGACATAGAAAATGAATGTGTATTTTAATAAAATATACGTTAACATTTTTCCTTTTATATACAAAAAAAAAAAAAATGTATATTATTTATATGCATATTTTTTAATATATATAGTTAATAATTTCTGATTAAAATGTAAAGTGTCTACTATTAAAGGCTTGTATTACGATATTATGAATACATTAGGATGACATAATTAAATGTGTTATATATGAAACAGTAGTCATCTAGTGAAATATAAAATTAATCTTATATTTTATTTTAATAAAATATCTTTTTTTTTGGAAATAATTTCCCTCTGCAAAATGCAATGTATTTTTATTTACTATTCGTTATATTAATTGATATTTAAACCGTATATTTATTAGAAATAAGCATGGTGTTATATATTTTCCACATTTATTATATAAAACAATATGAATTCTGGGTTGATATATATAATTCTATGTATTTTTACTGCTTTTTTCATATTACGTTTGTAATAATCACATAAAAAAAATTAAAAAGACACAATGATCCATGAAAATTTAAGTCATCCTTATATATATATAATATAAATATGTATTTTATTAAAATTTAATAACACGTATACACATCATATTTTATTTTTATTGGATACCTTCTTACAAATAGAGAAAACTCATTCAGAATTATATAAATTATAAAATATTTAATTACTAAATAAACCAAAAATAAAGTAATAAGAACAAAATTTCTTTCTTATTTTATGTTTTTGCTCTAAAAAGAATCATGTAATAGTAATATTTCAAATATTAATGTAATGATTTTATGGAAGTGCATGTATAATATGCTCACTAATACATATACTACTTTAACATCAAAAGAAGTACAATTCCATGTTAAATCTTAAAGGAAGTATTTCGTAGTTAGAAATATAATTCATTAAAATATAATATTGTAAAATAATATGATATGTGTGGACATAATATAGATACATTGAATTAATAGGTATGTAGTCATTTATATATTAATTACTATTTTAATCTATATATTTTTTAATATATATATAATATACTTTTTATCTTACAAGCATAGTATTAACAATTTAATATAAAATTTATAAGAAACAAGAATAAGAAGAAATTCCTTTATAGCATTTTTTTTTTAATTCTTATACTAATACTGATTTATATAATTAAAATTGTATATCGTTTTATTTAAAATATTATCTCTTCAATTTAAAAATTTATCAATGTTTTTCACTTTAGGAAAATTTATTCGACTACATATTGACTTTTTAAAGTAAATATCTTATGAATAATGTTCATAGAAGCATTAACATTTTTTTAAAGAAAAAAATATGTTTCATATATTATATTTAATTATATAATTACTCAGTATAATATATTATGTGTACTATTTGTGAATATTTTGTCTAAGTCTTCATACACATGGAACGTGTTTCTTGCTTGATCTACATTATTCCGAAAATTTTCTTTTCATCAATATTGCTTTGCGCAAAAAAGAACGAAATTTTGTAAACTAATTCGTAATAAACACATTTTATTTAATAAAACACAATTTCTTTATATGTGTAATATATTTTTTTGAATGAATTTATATGTTTCTATTTAATATATATATATGTAGAAATATAATAAACCTTATACAAAACAAATAAAAAAATGAATAATAAGAACGTTAAAATAATTGTAACTTTAATGGTAGCTCCAATATTTTTTTTGCAAGGGAGTGATACATGTTCGACAGCAGTTTCATACGATTGTAATTCTTTAGATCCACTATTTTCAATATATTTTTTTTCCATTAAATTTTTATATAAATTCATTAATTATTCTACTATACTATAAGAATTATTAATATTATTATGGTCTTATTAAAAAATTTCTACTTTATTATATTCTGCATACATGTCATGTACAAAGTATTGACAAATCTGCCACAGTAAATGCATCATTATATTTATTGCATTTCTGGTTAACCATAAAAGCTTTAATGTCTTGTTATATATATCAAGAATGGCTTTGTAATTATTTGTAATATGTTGAATACTTTTTACTTCTTTAAAATTATTAGATAACCAATAATAAATGTGCTTACAACTAGCTTCACTTAAAGTGTTATTTTCTATGCTTTGTATTTCAGAAAAATATATCATAACTTTGGTGCACTTTTATTTCGTTTTCAAGGAATAATCTTTTAAATTATTTAATAAACTTTTTTTCTTAGAGGGTCTAATATTTCTTCTCACGCGCCTACACTATTTTCATAATTTTTGTATTTACTTATCATTTCATGACATAACGCTATAAAGGGCACAAAACTATACTAAGATGAAAACTAAATAACAAAATTATCTGAATAATATATAATTTAAGCAATGTTCTATAATAAATATGGTAAAAAATATATAAAAATATAATCATATTATATGTATCATAAATAAATACGCCTACATTTGAGTGCACATCTCAGCTAAGTATAGTTTTTATAGAACTTAAACTAAACGAGATGATAAAATATATTAATATATAATTATTTAACTTTAAAAATTTATGTATATAGAATTAAATATATATAACATGTGAATTTTTATAATTATATTATTTATATAAAAATTTATCCAATGTCCATAATCGTTGATTCTCAAATAATATAAAAGGTATTAATAAAAATTTATGATACAAAAATATTATATTAATTATTCCAAATTAATTCAAAAAAATAAAAAAAATTAATTAGTATCTAGAATAGTTATAATACATGCTAAATAACAATAATAATAAAAGAATACTAATACATAAAGAAATATATAATATTGTTAATACATTTAATAAAAAAAAAATTATTTAAC